AGAGAGTATTTAATGAATAAACGTATCTAAATCTAGATCTAGATCTAGATTTTGTTGTGCACCCAGCCAAGAGTATGCAGTTCGGTCTAGATCTAGATCTAGTAGTGGTCTGGTGGGCGAATGACCGAAGAGCGACTCTTGACTACTTGCCTGTGAATTGGCGGAACACACTAGGCCTATCATGCAACTTGATTCATACATGGGGACTGGACGAGAAGGCCAGATAGTGTGGGCTTCTCGGGACTGGATCTAGTCGATTCCAGAGGGCGGCCATTTTGGCAAAACAAAATGCTAACGAAAGGCTCATGCTCTTTTACAACCAATCACAATCCAACAATTTTGGGGTCCACCTAGACACCATGACTACGTAGACCCCAATAGGGGAGTACGTAGACACTTCCGAAAAGAAAAGTAAAGTAACAAGGCAGACAGTAAGTTATTGTTGTTGTTGTTGTTTTTGTTGTTGTTGTTGTTGTTGTTGTTGTTGTTGTTGTTGTTGTGTTCCAGCAGTGCAGGGTGAGCCGGCACGATATCGGCCATATTTCGGCAGGAACAGATCAGAGGTTATCAATGATAGGAATATGTACATGTACTCACCTTTGGTATAGCCTTTGACCTGTCCATAACGCTCTTGAAGTGCGGGCGACGTAGGTGCTAGTCGGTTTTCTTTCATCAGTTCGCCGAAAGCCTGGGTAACAAAACAATAAATACAATCATGAATTCAAGTTGTTGTTGTTGTTGTTGTTGTTGTTGTTGTTGTTGTTGTTGTTGCTGTCGTCGTAGTTTTTACAGTAGTTAGTATTTAGGAGAGGCGTCTCAAATTCGTGGCCCACGGGCCAGCCGAGACTGGCAAGACGCTTTTTTGTGGCCCATGCATGAAATACAAGTTTTGTTTTGGTAAGTGTTTTACGGTACTTGCAGAACAATAAGGTCATAGAAGTGCCGAATATTAGAGGTGTTACAAGAGAGTAACAAACAAAAAACAAAACAAAAAAGAGAGAAGGAGGGGAGATAAAGACAATAGACGGTCGATAGGAAAGAAGAAGCAAACCACACCAGAGCACCCGCCAACCACCCACAAATAAAAGTTTAGTGTTAGTGCGTCGCACATGTCTCTATCACACACATGTAAGAGCGATGCAAGGGGATGTTCTGTCAAGTCTCTGGCAGCAAGGAGTAAGTAAGGGAATCCTGAGTTCTGAAGAACTACTCGTCTGCAATCAATAAAGATTGAGAAGATTTGATCATAGTTGTAGGCCTACATGTAATTTTTAAAAGCTTGGAACTTTCTATTTGTAATGGAATATTTGATGCGATACACACACATCGAATCACGCCTTTGAATCTAATAAAGTGTCACAGCATTACACCATTTTGTGAGGCAGCGTGGTGGAATCAGGCTCTCGTCAATTTTGGGGCATATTGAGTTATTGGTACTATCTTAAAGCTTATTTATTTGTCTTGCTTTCAATGAAAAAATTACCCATCCATCTTCAGTAGAAGTGGAGATATTTTGGATTAAAGGAGGTGGGGGTCACCTGGTTTAAGAGGTAAAATCAAGGAGAAAATGGCCGCCAAACCTGGTAAATTCCAAGCTGGAGAGTCCACGAAAACTGTAAATTTATATTTTTGGGCCTTTAATCAACGTTTTCGGTGAAACCTCCAAAGGAATGTGTTTGTAAATGGACATAAAAGGTGTTGAGACAAAAAACAAAAATTTGATGAAAATTGCTAAGCAGGGAGAAATCTGCTGTTTTCTTCGATTTCATTATTTTGATGAGAGCCTGATTCCACCACGCTGCCTCACCCATGTCGACGGGGGTGTAAAAACACATACATTAAAAAACAAACAAACACAGACACACGTAAACAGACAGACACACTCACACACACATACACGGACACACACATACAAACACACACACATAAATACAGAGAGTGAGAGAGAGAAAGAGAAAGAGAGAAAGAGAAAGAAAGAGGAAGAAAGAGAGAGAGTGAGAGATAAAGAAAGAGGGTGAGAGATAGATAGATAGATAGAGAGAGAGAGAGATAGAGAGAGAGAGAGAGAAAGAGAGAGAGAGGGAGAGAGATAAAGAAAGAGAGCAAAAGAGAGAGAGAGAGTGAGAGAAAAAGAAAAAGGGTGAGAGATAAAGATAGATAGATAGATAGATAGATAGATAGATAGATAGATAGATAGAGAGAGA